GGGGAGCCGAGCCAGCAGGCTCCCTCCGAGTCCAGGCTCACCTCCCACACGCTGAAGCTAAAAGGTTTCGGAGCCACACCCCGCGTGCCCGCCGCCTCTCCCAGCGCAGCACCGGGGAGTCCTCCAGGCAGCGCGGGAGCCCCTTAGGTTTTTATGGCTGTGTCTCGGGACTTGTAAGCCACGCCACGGCTCTTCAGCTCTCGGACGATCCCTGCAGCAAGGAGACAAACACAGTTCAGTATTCCTCAGGGGTGAGGAGCCCTGGAAAAAAAAGGTTGCTCTGTCCCATAGCCTTCACTGCAGAGATCAAGAACTGGATAATCATCGTCTTTCACTCTTCCAACAGAACTGTTAAGAGTGTTCCCTCTTCTAGCTGAAATGCCTAGACAGAGCTCCCAAACATCAACTCATGTTCTGCCTTGGGAAAGAACTAGGTAGAGATTTTATTCACGTTATTTTCTACAGGAAAATGTTTTAGTATTATGACTGTACCGAACAGGTCAAGCTCTTAAGGGTAGTTCTTAAATCCTTCATCACTTTTGTGCCCCGCCTGCACATCCCACCTTCCCCTCAAGAACTGCACTGGCAGCAGAGCACCATGGGGTTCAGCACGGCTCTGGCCTGTGCCACGCCACACCACGGGACAGCCCACGCGTGCAGCCTCCCAGTTACCGCACTCCCCGCGACACGAGGACGGCCTGAGCGAGGCCCAAGACAGCATCTCCCACCTGCACTCCCTCCGCCTGCTGCCCCGCGCTCCCTGCCCTGAGCTCCGCTGAGCTCACGCCATCATCTGCTGCACTCCGGTAGCTTCGGACGCAGCCGGAGCTGTGCCAGCGGGCCTGGGCATCAAGCCTTGCGACGATCCAGCTCCTTCCCAACGCAGATGGCGGAGCTCAGGTCAGAAAGCCGGAGCCTGGCATTCCAGAAACAGCACAGCTTTGACGCTGGGGCTACGGGAGTGCAGCAGCCCTGGGAAGGGGCGCAGCGCAGGGGTCTGCTCCGGGGCTACGTACAGGGCAGGGGCTCTCAGCTGCCCAGACGATGCAGTTTCTGCATTGCAGAGATCAGGCCAGCCCTCTACACCTTCCCCTCCACTTCTAAACGCAGAAACCCCACCGTAACGTAAGCCCTCAGCGCAGCAGGGCGATGGAGAGGGGTATCTGCCGTAACAGCACCCCAACCTGCAGAGCTCTTCTCCATGGACAAGCCTTCGTGTTTCCCTGCAGCTGAATGGTTTGAAACACGCCCACTTTCTGGAGTCACCCTTTAATCACAGTTTAGCCCTCCGACAGCCTGCCAGGTATCACAGGTTTTTAGTCAGCACCACCTGCAACATCAGCTTCTGGCTGGCACGGAGCTGAACAACCGCAGGTGGAAAACCTGTCTGCAGCGCCCAAATCCACCCTCCCGCTCTGCATCGCCTTCCTGCAGCCTCCTCGCTACGGCGCGGGCTCTGCTCACAACGCACGGCGTGCGCTGAACCCCCCCAGTCCTGGTTTCAGCGCACAGGTACAGCGCAACGCACCGTCCCATCTGCCACCTCCGAGACGGCGACAGCCCCGGCACCCCACGTGCAGAACAACCCCCCGGCAGCCCCACGCCAGCCCGCAGCGTTACCTTGGGGCAGGCGCCCGGTCACTGACACTGCGTAGACGCCCGGCTTGAAGTTACCTGGGGGAAAGAATCACAGAATCACAGCATGGTCGGGGTTGGCAGGGCCCTCTGGGGGTCACCCAGCCCAACCCCCTGCCCAAGCAGGGGCAC